AGCTGGAGACGGCGCGGCAGGAGAGCGCGCGGCTGGGGCGCGAGAAGGAGGAGCTGGAGGAGCGGGCGTCTGAGCTCTCGCGCCAGGTGGACGTGAGCGTGGAGCTGCTGGCCTCACTCAAGCAGGACCTAGTGCACAAGGAGCAGGAGCTGAGCCGCAAGCAGCAGTGAGTGGCCCGCCGGGCCCCGTGGGGGAATGTGCCCGCCCCTGTTCCCTAGTGGGTGACCCTGTGAGTCATTGTGCTGCTGCCATCACCGTGGGTGTGGCAATGAGTGTGTCAGTGTGTGAAGCCATGAGCATGGAACGATGGTGCATGTGGGGCCAACAGTGTCATGACTGTATTTAGGACTGTGAGTCCATGATCTTGAAGCATGTTCTTTAAAATATATATGTTATCGATTTCAGAGAGGAAAGGGAGAGAGAGAGATAGAAATATCAATGATGAGAGAGAATCATTGATCGGCTGCCTCCTGCACGTCCCATAGTGGGGCTCAAGCGTGCAACCCGGGCATGTGTCCTGACCAGGAATCGAACCGTGACCTCCTGGTTCATAGGTCGATGCTCAAGCACTGAGCCAGGCCGGCCGGTGAAACACATTCTTCACTTGGCTTCCAGGACACTCTCCTGGGATCTCCTTCTGTCTCTTTGCTCCTCCTCAGTCTTTGTTGCTTCTCCTTATGTCTCTGGTCTTTAAGTGTAGAATGATGAAATATGTAGATGTTATGCATCTGTCCCCATAGTGATACAAGCTCCATGGTGGCAGGAATTTTTCTCTGCTTGTTCACTGCTGTGTCCCCAATACCTAGAACAGTGCCTGGCTCCAAGAAGGTGCTCAGTCAATGTTGAGTGGATGCATGAACGACTGTGAATGCAATTGGGAGTAAATACTCTTGTGACTCTTAAGTGTGCTGTGTGTACATGGAACTCCTGGAGGTGGTAGTGCAATGGGAAGTGTGCTTCTGCAACTGAGAATGTTTCTGAAAAATGTGTGTGTGGTGGGGGTGGGGTTAGGGGGTGTTTGAATGTGTTGGTGAGACTGTGCCTTTCTCAGACTGTGTGCCTGCGAATGAGCATGAATACGTGTATTTGAGTG